GCCATGTGTGAAATATTTAGAACTTGACATATCGTGTGAAATCGGTTTAGTCGACGGTCGTCAATGGGAACCTATTACTGTTAATCTCATTCGATTTGATTTTCGATTTCGTATTGTACATTGGTCAATACGGGGTACTGCGAAAATCGACCATCTTAACTCGTTCCGAACACCATTCTGACTCGAACAGAAGCGGTGGTTTGTTGCTCATAATACCTGCAAACCACCAAGTATTTTCACCATTCCTCGTTTTATGCCGAAAGACTTAGAATGGCCATCGAACAAGGCTCTAGAAGATTGTACCACTGATATTTTCAAATCTAATAATTACATCAAACATCTAAATTTATTGTCCAATGAAAGAAACACACAAGCTGAAAACAAGTTTGATTTACAGACTTTACTCGAAGATAAATCACATCTATATTTATTGAATATCTGTAATTCGTTGTCATCCGATATTCTACATGAAAAATTTGTTTATGAACAAATACGAATTTTACGTTTTAGTTTCGAGCATAATATATCATCGTTATTTAATCCGAAACAGATATGCGCAGCATTTCCTCGACTAGAATGTTTAAGCACATCAATTGAATCACCACCAGCGTTATTTATCCGATGCGTATTTTCATTTCAATTTTACTATTAAACGATGGTGTTGTTGGCAACAACAACAACAAGTAACACGTCAATGACACATTCAAAATAGTCGACGATTAAGACATCATTTACATTTTACCAGTACAACAACAGATCATAGCATACGATTCTGGATGAATGATAAACACCAGTCATCACCGATATTTAAAAGCTTCATGAAATTGAGAAGAAAGTAATGGATTTTATTCGACTGTAATGGTTTGTTGACATGTGAACAGCACAAACATCGAACTTGTATATTTTAAGTAACTGAATAACATATTACTCATCACTTAAAGTAATTCGTTACAATAAAAAACATTCAATTGAGAAGCTATTTTGCGTGTAACATCATAAAAAAGAAAGTTGTAATATCTTGATATCTAGTTCGTGTTAGGAAAGAAATATGAACATTACCATCTAAGATATAACCAGCTTGCATCTTTACCTACTTTCTGTGTTTCTTCTTCGCTGACTGAGGATGTAAGTGAGCATATGCGTTGACATTGATGTGGCTTATATATCAAGAAACATCCGCACCGTCAAATTACTTTACCGATTTTGCATAACTTGACGGAACTTCTTAACGAATTCTTTTATGCTTTTTCAACTAAAACATTCATTCCTAAAGTAAGAAAACATGATGAACACGATATGGATTTCAACATATCATATATGAAGTAATGTTTTTTAAATAGAAACATTTTCTCTAAATTTAGAAAAAGAAACCATGGAAACACAGCATATGCACGATTTAGTAAACAACCATGAAAATATTTTCGAAGACTTTTTTTTTTTTTTTACTGTAGTACGATTAGAATTTTTCTTCCATGTAACGATCATAGTAAATATCAAGCTAGAATAATTCAAATTTGAATTAAACGGAAAGTTCTTTTAAAGTAATTTTAGAAACAACTTTTGATTTCGTCTAATTTTCTATTTATCAATACTTAATTATCAAAAGATACAGAAATTGTTCTACGTAAAATTAGTAATGATTCCCATTAAATTAAATGAATTTATGATAAAAACTAAATAACATATTGTTGAAGAGTAAAAATTGCTTTTTTTATCTATTGCATTAATAAATCCATCAATGTTTATTAATCAATTATTTGTAAGTATGAAATCGTTTTTTCTTTTTTATAATTCTATTCTTATTCAGAAATGTAATGAAAAAAAAATCAACTTTATTTCATATTTAACAAGAATTCGGTCAAAAAACTATATTTCTTCTCGACAGAATTCAAATAGTGTATTTTTAGAAAGGCGAGAAAAATTCATTTTTGCAATAATAAACATAAACCTTATAAAAAAATATACTAAAAGATATTATCTTACAATTAAAAATAAAGCATGGAGTGAAATCGCTATCAATTAAACATACAAATCACATGAAACATGTATTTTTATACTCTGAATAGTAAATCATTTAGTTATTTTGCAATAAAATTTAAGTGTGGATGTAGATAAACACAAGATAATACCCATACCTTCGAACTTACTGGAAATATTAGCTGAAAAATGACATGTCTGAATTTATTTCGTCAAAGAAAAAATATAACTTGTTCAAGTAGACGCAAGTAAAGCTTCTTAGTGTTCGGCAAATTTACGATCCTCTTCAAATTTCTTTTCAATGATAAATTCTTTTGCTCATTCGTGTTCTGAAGCTAAACCCATTGCCTATAATAACAATGAATCATTTTAATCGTATGCTTATTTTTAAGAAACATATCTTACGAATAGCTCTTGCTTTTGTTTATCATTTGATTGGATTTTTCTTGAAATATCAACATGAAAACAATTTTCAACATCATTTTCTCCATTTCTTCTATCACAACTATCACTTTCATCAGTATGATGTCGTTGACTACTTTCATTACATGCACTACATATAATGGTTTCACTATGTTGATCATGATTTTGTTGTTGCTCGAGCTCTTGTTTACATTTTAAACTTTGTTGTTGATGATTTCCATCCACTAGTGTTGATTCAGTTTCAATACGACCAACAACCCATTCAGTTTAGTTGAAAATTTTGTTTAGAGAATAGATTTATTCCAGAATGTCATTCAACTCAAAAATCATGTTAAAGATATAAATCTATTCACATAAAGAACATACTTAGAAAATTCTTGTGTATCAGTTTTTTTTCTTATGTTATAGCGATTTAGCAAGTTTTTGATCTTTATAACGGCACACATTAGGTTTGTAGTGAACAGCTGTCTATATCTTATGCCAAATTTATCATCATGCTCTATTGCGTACCGCTTAAACCGCAACGAATAGAATTGATCGTACAGTTACTAATTGTGTTAAAATTTCAAAGAAACGATGCCAATAGTTGAGATCGGAATAAAACATAGTAAAACTTATGAATAGAGACATTATTAATTTGGGGGGATATGAGTGTGGATATGTTTATGTCGATTTTGGTTTCAATTTTTGTGTTGATATCAAGTATGAGTGTGGGTGTCACTCCTTAGTTTTTTCGCTGCTTTTTCTTTAACTTTATTTTTTGTTTATTCAACAAAGTTTATAAACATCACAATCCTTTTCGCTGATCATCTGTTGAANTATAAAGCAATAACTTCTAATCAGTATTTTTGAAACTTTTCATCATAGTTAATTAAATAACAATACCCTGAAAACTAATTATTTTTCAGTATTTTTTAATTGACTATTATGAAAAGTTTCAAAAATCCTGATTAGAAGTTATTGCCTTATATGAATCGATGTGTTTTCACGTCTTTCTTCCAACAGTGAACATTGCAGCTCTCTACCATGTTCCTATCAAAAGTTATTCAAAAAATATCCATCCAACTATATTTATTTGAATGGGCACTAGTTGAAATCTTTCCATACAAATTATATGTACCGGAAGATGCAACGAAATCTCGCGGATTTCATGGATATATTCGTAGCTCTTTTTAGTCAAAGATGTTTTCTAGTTAGGTGTTACCTATAGCACAAAAAAAATACCGAAAAATTTTTTTCCAGAATGATGGCACGTTTCCCATGGATTCACCCAGAAGGCGTTCGGATGTCCATATGTGTTTGGTACTTCTTTCACAGGTGGATGATTCCTGAAGCAGTATTCCGTGGATTTCCGGCGAAAACCCTCAGGAAACTCGCCGTTTCTGGCCGGGACCCGCCAGAAAATGTCAGGAATTCGATGCAGGAATCCGGTAACCGTATCCGGCTGTCAGTTTTCACAGCCTACTGCCGATTCCAGGCGGAGCCGAACAAATCCTGTCACTGGATCCGTTCACCAGAATACTACTTCCATGAAATCTCTGGAATACCACGGAAACGGCCGTTTCCATGCCGGATTGTTCGACCTGGGTTCTCGAGAGATGCACGCGATAGGGCGTTTTCCTTACCTGTGCCAAAACCGGTTTTTTGGAACCGGAACCGTTTTTTAGAATTACTAGCATCATAGTTACATAGCGCCCTATTTTTTTCTTTCTATTCGGCTGTTGTGCATATATTCTAGTTCTTTTCTTTTTATCTAACTGTTTCCATGTGTCCTTGTTCGTCTGATCTATTTTTTCTGACTGATATCTTCTTTCAATAAGAAGAATCATGGTTTCAATCGTTCATTATCTAAAACAAAGACAACGAAGTTACTTCGTTTCTTCCCTCGTTCGTTTCTCTAACTCCTCGTATATAAATATTCGATATGTTTCTAATAGAAAATAGTAAAATACTTGTTCATCCATTGCGTTCTTTATTTAACTGTTATTTATTTTTTAATTAATCTCTATATTCTATATTATTGAGGAAATGAAATTTTTCATTTGGTGTAGTAAATTCTAATCGTAATACGTAAATAAGATGAAAATGACTTTTTTAGAAGTTATTTTTATTTACATAAGTATGACATAGATCTTTATTGCATATGTCACTCATTCTTCTCATTAAAATTCAAAATTCACAAGATATGAAATTTTCTACTGATGTTTTAGGCGAGAAATATCAAGGAAAAGACGGAAAAGTTTTTTTGCCTTTGTGAGAGAAACCTGAAAATAGATGGAGACAAGATTTTCGATTTTAAAGGATTTCTAACAATTTATTTTTGACGATTTTAGAATGATTTTGAAATGCTTTGAATAATTGCGATGACTTTAAAAAAATCACGCAAATTATTAATACTTGTTTCCTCTTGCTTTTGACCGAATGCTGGCGACTCCTATACCATCGCATGTATTCAAAACTGCATTTTCTCTTTGGTCATTGCGTCATGCCACGCATGTATACGTTGTCTTTATTTAGGTAGGTACACGTAAGAACGGAAAATAGGAAACTTCTTACACTCGCGTAAGATAAATCATTCATTTCTTCTTTATATTTTCGTCATGAATCTCTATCAATGTATCAGATGTCTTCGCTTTGTTCTTCTTGTCTGTTTCATTAGTCCGTTGACAACGGCCAATGATATCACTGCTCGAACTTTTTCAGTTTCTGAAGTTGAGCCAAGTAAAATCGTTCATCCTGAAGTTCTATCTCTCTCGAACGAAGATTTGCAACAATGGGCAAATGAAAATGAAACACTTATGCTTGAAAATGTCCAACTTGCACATCCGTTAGCTGGTGGAATTGGTTATCGCGTGGCAAATGCATTTATCGCTACTGTATTCAAAGCTTATTCAAATCACTATCCACTTGAACTAAGTGTCGAAGATATTTGGGTGGCTATTGCCCAAGGTGTAAGTATTCATCTGAATGAAAATGCAGAAAAATATCGTCAACTTTTCGTATCACACGAAGGCAAAAAGACACTACAGCTGAACGTAGACAAACTTCGAATTTCGAATACAGATAGAGCATCAGGTGAAAATCTCTCGATACCAGCGATCGATTGGCCAGCAGCCGTGCGTTTAATGGGCGATTTGATCAAAGAAGATATGAAAGCCGATCTCTCCACTGTGATTACACAGCCTTTTTCACAAACAACAGCTGTGCAACAGACCGTGTTCGACGCATGTTTAATGGACACTGTTAAAAATTACTATAAATACGAATTCGTTTTAGTCTGTGGTATTCCACAAATAACTTTGCTTGGTTCACCAGAAGATTTTCAATCAGTATTGAACCGTTTAAATCAATTGAAAATATTCTTTCCTGATTTACATTGGTGGCTCGACCCACTTCTGTCGCATGTGGAAAAATTTAAAGAAAGTGCTCAAGGAAATCCTGACATTGCTTGGTGGAGAAAGATTTGTCATCGAAATTTTGAAGGATCTGGTGATATGACATTAACTGGATGGCTTATTGATTTCGTTCCGTAAGTATTAAACTTCAACTTTTGTTTTCGCTCGGAATCAGAGTTTTGGTCACAAATGCCAATTGTTCATTTTATTTACTATTAAGCATAAAACCTATTTAATTGGATCATGTTGATTATTTCATAATATTAGAAAGTAAACAAGATTAATGTTTAGATCGCATGATACCGTCAGCACTGTTATCTAAAAAAAGTTACATCTAATTGTAATTGTATCATGTACTCATTCTATGTTCCATCGATTTCCGCTCTTTTCTTGACTTGTATAGGATGCTCAATAACAAATGCATATGTATCCATCTTATTTTCATGTTAGGTACACTGCCGATACATATGGTCACTATCAAAAAGCTCAGAAAAGTCTTTATTTCAATGATAATGAGGTAAGAGAAAGGTATAATGCTGTTGTCTATAACATGTATGTCTTTCATGTTGTTTGCTCAATAGGAAGTAACTTATGGTATCGATTTTTCTGATTTCAATGAAGCCGTTACACAAACAGATTTTATTCTTAATGACAATGGAATCAAAATCAATATGAAATTGATTGCCGGTTTTCTGGGCATCGGACAAAATCCAACAACTAACGCTCTTCGACCAATTCTTGGCTGGTTGACAGCTATTCCATCAGTCAAGCCTCCAGTGAGAAGAAGAACTTTAGATGAAATGTGAGAAACACTGTTGTACATTGAAGAAACTATAGAGAAGTTTCTTTTTTTTCAAATAAACTCGATATCTATTACAACAATTAAAAGAATAAGAATAGATATTTTTTATTGTTTTCATTATCACAAGAACATTTTTATAGTAATACAATATTCGACGCTATCAAGCACTTCCTTCCCCTATTGAACAATTCATTTCTACGTTCTGTGGTGTCTCGTTATTGACAACTTGGAAATGCAAGATGTATAACCTCGGTTTAGCTTTGAAAAATGTTGTTGATCTAATTAGTCTTCCCAAAATATGTCATGTAAAAAATTGACCAGGACAAAAACGGGCGTCATGTAGTTCAATATTGAGGATAGATAAATGCTTTGCCAGAAGTACAAATCAAGATTCGAAACAAAATTAGAATGAGAAGAATTTTTTTAAATACAATTTTCTATCAAATCAAACTTAACACTATTTGAATGTGTGGTGTGATAAGTCTGCATGTGGCTTTGGTTTTGAAGAAAGTACTCGAATCCACACCCACACCCTCCTATTCTTTGTTTGTCTTGTTTCTTTTGATTTTTGTATTTCGCTTTTTCCTCAATTTTACATTATTATTATTATTCTAACCATTAATTGAACTGGCAAATAATCCTTTTATCTCAAACTCACTACTATTGTATATTGATAAACTCACAAACGCTGATATTGATTATTTCCTAAAGTTAAAACTTGGTTAGTACACAACTTTTTTTAATGCTCATCATTCCATATCGCCCTTGAAATCTTAAATATAAATTTTTATCTGTGTAAAAATCAAAGATCACACGATATACAACATCATTTCCAAATGTGTTTCGACTCATTGAAGTTTCGAATAAGACTTGAGAATTCAAGAAGGAAAAAGTTGATTCTGAGTAATTTCAATGGTTATGGCCACTGAAATACGGGAAGAAAGCAATGTTTACGTTACCTGGTAATTGATTACAGGAAAATTATGAATTCATCCTGACTTCTGGGAATATCTATTGAGGAAAAATCATGTCTTTTTCCGTCGTTAGAGTATTCTAAGAAAATAGTTTGACATCTGTTTTCTTCGGTGACTAAGACCTGTAATAGGCATGGAGTCCCAAAACTTTGACTCAAAATTTACAATCACTATTGTCTTCGAAAATATAACGTACGATGCAAAAAGTAAGGGCACAAATACCGATCGCTATTTTTCTTCGAAAAAAGGGGGTGCTCAATGAAAGGCTTTTTACCAAAAGGAAGAGCTCGTTCTCCTCTTTCGAACAGTATATAATTCGTATTTGTCACATATCGATAAATGACATTGCTCAAGACAAAAAGAGAAATACTTGCTCAATAAATTTGTAATATTTATATATAATAGTCAAAAACATCGTGTTAGACAATAATTAATTCGATTTTTGTGGACTTATTAACAAGATCTTGTGAAGTGACAGTTTATTATAGTTAACTATCATCTACAAGATGTTTTTGACTATTTCATATGAAAATTATAAATTTATTACGCAAGTATTTCTCTTTTTTTCTTGTGTCATATCATTTATCAATATCATCATCTTTCTATTGAAGTGAAATAGCCATCGCCCATTTGTACTATTACTTTTGCATCATACGTTATATCAGCTTCACATAAAAGAATGTTTATTAATTATCTTAAGTTGATATCATTTACAAGTAAATACAATACAAAAAAAAAAAAATAACAAACGCAGATAAACATGAAAGAAAAAAGAATATTCATTAAGAGAAAAAGAAAATTGCATTGAGAGATTATTGCACAACAAGAAAAAAAAATACAAACAAACAGAAATATTATTCTCGTTTGTTTAGCTCATATTGATAAGAAAAAGAATTAATTCATATCTCGCCTGTTTTACGTGATGATACTCTTTTCGGTATATCTCTTATATAAATTTGAAAACGTGTTAAAGCTCGAGATGATTTTCGATCAAAATTAATATTTGCACCAAATATTCGACACATAACATTGATTAATACATTTGGTTTAACTTCATTAAATTGAACCCATACATACGGTGCTTGATATACATCTTGACGTTCTTTTTTACCTCTGAAAAATATTTCTTTTTAAACTTGTCGGCTTGACGTAGTTTGATAGAGCTCGTCGAGTTACCCACTAAACAGCTTGTTTTTTTTTCTTCTCTCATAACAAGTAAAATTCAAAAATATACCGATTAATACTAATGCTACCAAGACTTGATACTTTTAGTGTCTGTTAATTTTTAGATTTTTTTTTCAACTTTTGCTACAAAACCAAGATAACTCGATGAATTCTATTCAACCACGACAAATAAGAAAAAACTCGTTCTTACTCATAAGGAAACCATTTAGTTTCAATTGAACCACAATTATTATCGTGACTATTCTCTGATATATAAGTTATATTCTGAATATTATCAGCATCAGCCGAATACTAAATAAGATAAAACAAACTAAAATTTTCTTTCTTCATAGAAAATAAATAATAAATTACTTCTCCATAACAATGAACAGCAATAGTATTAGAATTAGATCGACATCCAGCAGATTTAAATGCATGTTCATCTTCTGATAAATAACCTGTCTTTGGTAAAAAACCAACAATCTATAATTAAATATGATTTTATTTGATTTTCTTATTTATATATTCTTTTACTTTATTCATTTTAACAAGTACACATGGTTTTCCATTAAGATATCCATATTGATTTTGAGATGTACAATCACCAGGGTTAGAAATTTTAAATATCTTTGTTTGATTAAATCCAACATTATTATGTTTCCAATAATCTAATAATAGGAAGAAAAAAAAACAAGAAGATTAAGAATTTCTCATTAAATAAAATTTTAACTTACAAACTCTAAGATATTGATTAAGACTTTTAACATAAGGATTTAATTCATTTCTAGAAGCATTTTTATCAATTAAAATAAGATTTCTTTCTACATCTAATTGTGGTCGAAAACCTAAACCTAATATTAATTTAAAAATAAATAATTTATTTAAAATTTATTTTTATCAATTATACAAACCAGGCGAAAGAGGAATGGTACGAGTACGCATACATGATGATTCGGAATAATAACGTGGACGATCTCGTGGTGATAATGCCATAAATACAGCTAACATTGTACAAAAAAATGCGCCCAAACCAATGTAGAAAAAAAAATAAAACATTCCTAATTTTCCTATGAAAATTAATAAATATATTTCGAAATTAATAATTCATTCATCAATTTTAATTTACCCCATCGAGCGCCATCTCTACCAAGAAATTCTCGTCGTTTTGAATCATATACTGTATCTACTAAAGCAGATAATCTACTTCCCATAATGACTATTCCTTGCAATAATATTAATCTATAAAAAATAAAATAAAAACACAATCTGTTTATAAGACAATACAGAAAAAAAGTAGATTAACTCTTTACCCTAAAATATATATGGACGAAAATGTTGACTAGAGAATCAAATGGATTCTGTAGTCAGTATTCCGAACGGGTAATTTAAAATTCAAGGAGCATAAACAACAAAAGGAGGAAAGATGTTTGCAGTGCACGTTAATAATAGATTTGAAATAGTTAAAAGGTTCTAGAGAATAACTATTTCTAATTGATAAAATATCTTCCATTGATTATATTATTATCTTAGTGATTTTCTATCTAATGTAATCCATGGTATGAAAGTCTTGGCACAAAATATTCACTTACTTTTCGAATACGTATTCAGATCTTCCTTCTAGGGTAAGATTCAACAATTATCAGTAAATTTTCTGAAAAAAATGAGATATTTACAATAAGCGAAATCTCATCTATATGTTTCTACTGAAGAGCTAATTTCTATGAAAATCAATATTGGTCAAAAAATGCTTTTAAAAATCTATCAGAAAAGTAAATAATATACTCTATAAAAGCGACAAAACTAAGCCATTAAAAACTATTCTGATTGAAATAGCATACTGTAGAACTACTATGTGAAACAATCTAATGATAGTTGTCCTATCTTATTCTGATTCCGACTCGAACTAGTTATCTTTAGGTAGCCTACAAATAAGTGAATATCTTTTCCTATGTTCATACTAGTCAAATCAAGAAAAAAAGAATATCTTTCACAACTGTTTTTATCTTTATGTCCACCAAAAATCGTCCATCCAAGAGAATTAGGCCCCGAACAGACCGACTAATTCAAAGTGAATTAAAACCGAATTAACGAATAAATCGTCTCAAAAAGACGATTTAAATCGAAATAGACCAATCACGTTGCTTAATTTGTTTTATTTTTTTCAGTCTGTTCGGGGCCTAATCTTATTTTGTTGTTCATAGATTGACGGACGACTGACCATATCTTTTATTTCTGATTGGTCGAATTAAGATCGTATTAATNAATGGTAGATTTCACAGTATAATTTTGATATTCAGACAGTCTAGGATGATTGATTTGTATGATTCACTTTTTGAAGTACACATAACTCTCGGATTTAAATCCGAAGTTTCCGCATTTATTTCTTTTTAAAAATGACTTATAAGACGTTTTGTCCGGTTCGACACCACATGAGAATATTGATAATTACATAAATGATAAAATATATTTGTATACTTCTTTTGGCCATGAACAGAAACATAACAGGCAGCGACTTCATACTATGTTTATGTAATCATATTAGTTCTCAGGGTTGTCTTCATTCTATTAACATCTCCGTCGTTTTTCTATGGTTAATTTTGATCTTTCTCAGATAATCGAATATAAGAAATATTCTATTTTTTTTTAGTAAAGTTCGTCATCATGAAATCTTAACAACTATCTTTCAAGGTTCAATACCAGAACAAGATTCAAATATTTATATTCAATTTGAAAAAGAACATCGTAAATTACAACAAAATCGTTCGACATTAGAAAGACAAATTCAAGATATACGTCAAGCATTATCTGGCAAAGAAGAAAAACGACGTTTATTAGCTGATGAATTAAAACGTAAAGATTCATTACGAAATGAATATACAGATCGTTTACAAGAACAACTTAATGGACAAATTTATGATAAATATATAGAAAAATTATCGAATGATGTTAAACAAAAACAAGATGAAAAAGGTAGTTTTGTTGGTATGGAAAAAACTTATCAAAAATTTATTAATCAAGTTCAATCAACATTAAAATCAGATCCGTAAATTAAATCAAAGAAGAAATTTTTTTTTTTTCTTTTTCATATTTTGTTTTTCTCATCATAGATGTTGTCCATTATGTTATCGAAAATTTGAAAAACAATCTGAAGGTGAACAATTAATTCGTGACATGGAATCACAAGTCAAAGGACCTGAATATAGAAATAAAATTGATCGTGATTTAACATTATTACAAGAAAAATTTGAAAAATGTCTTAATCTTAAACCAATTTATAGTCAATTACAAGATCTTGAAGAAAAAGATATTCCAACATTAAAAAAAACTATGAAACAACTTGATAATGAAATAGTTCAATTAAAAAATAAACAAACCGATTTAGAACAAGAATTAAATGATCGAATTTGTTTACCATTAGAACAATGTGAACAAATTAAAACTGATATTATTATGCTTAATAAATATATTAATGAAAGAAAAGATTTTGAAACAAAAATTAATAATTGTCAACAAAAACTTGGTAAATAAAACTTTCATTTATATATATATCAGATATAAATGAATTTTATTTGGCATTTTCTAAGATATATTCATTGCAAATAGGTTTCTCTATTAATTGAGATACCTTCTTCAGAAAATTGAATTCTGAAACTTTATGTAATTGATAGTGTGGATGAGAGATATCATTGAATTGAACAAATATTTTGCTTTTATTTATTGACTAAATTAAAAATTTCAAAATTTGATAAAATATCAGAATAACATCGATTAAGAAAGATTAAAGTCAAACGAAATTTATCTTCACAGTTAAAAAAAATCTTCTTTGAAAGAAGAAATAAACATCACGAGGCGTGTACGGACAGAGAATTGCTTAGATTTTTACAGCACCATCTCTTTTGAATTTTTCGTAACAAAAAATTTTTCTCAATTGAGCAAGTTTTTTTAGCAAAAAAAAATAAATTGAATAAATATATACATGGACAAACGAAACCTGTAATTTTGGTCTTGGAACGTATAGACACTATTGAGAAGCAGAGATGTCCATCGCGGCGCTGCCGCGGTGGCGACAGCGGCAGATTTTTAAAAACTCATCGCGGCAGCGGCGCGGTGGCGGCGCGGCAGCTTTTTTTATAAGTCATCGCGACGCGGCAACTTTTTTTTTATAAGCCGGCGCGGCAGCGGCGTGGTAACTTTTTTTTTCTAATGCCGCGGCGCGGCAGCGGCAGGTTTTCAGCCGCGATGGACATCTCTATTGAGAAGTCATCGACGACCAAATATTCCATTCTGTACAAAATGTAAAATAACTTCATTATCTATTTAATCTACGTCAATCATCAGCTAGTATAGTTTTCTGACTGAAAAAATATTTTATAGGTAAAGGACAAAAATCATCGCCACGTTCTCTCGATGAAGTAAAACAAGTTAAAAATGACGTACAAAATCAATTTGATCTTCTTGATAAAGAATTACAACGTAAACATAAAGAACTTCGTTCACAACAAGATTTAGTACAAGAATTACGTGAATCCTTAACAGAACTTAAAAATGAAAAATTAAAATTAAGTTCTGATATACAAAAAAAAGAACGACTTGATGAACAATTACAAAAATTAACAAATTACATTCAAACACTTAAAGATGAAATTGAAACTGATAAAATATCATTAGAACCAATTAATGTAAGCTTTTATTCAAAATAATATTGAATCATATTTAAAAAAAAAATAATATTTTATTTAGACTGATATTGATATGAAAATAAAAGAAAAAAATCGATTAAAAATAGAAAAAGAAAAAACATTATCTACACTTACGGAATCTGTTTGTATTTTTGATTTCTATCTTAATTTAAAATTTTATTGTTTATCTATAGATCAATGTTCTAGAACAAAAATTAAATGAATTAAAAGCATTAACAACAACAATTAATAAGTATGTTTAATAAAGATGAACGATCAATTATAAGATTCAATATTTCGAACTAAAAATTACTGGCATAAACATCAGATCGTGCTCTGTTTAATTCATAGAAGTGTAAAGTTACATTTATATCTAATATACAGATGAACTTTTGTTCTATTCACCGAGAGACCAAAACTAAATGAACTATTCATGTATCATTCAGAAGTGAAGGGCAAATAAAAATGATCAGTGAGAATGAGAAGATTTCTTTCGAGACTCAGACAATAATCTTAACAAACTATCTAATTCTCCATCTTATACACATTTGATTTTCGTTACTTGTGAACTTATGTAGACTTTTTTGGATGTTTTTCTTCTCCACGATAAATCTATTAATTTAATATTTAGTTTTGAAGATCGTACATCTAAATTATTAGAAGAACTTCGTTCTTCATTCGATCAATTAAATATTCAAGAAAAACAATTACAATCAGAATTATCAACATGTATAACAACCATAGCTCAATATAAAGATGATTTAGCACGAACTGATATTCGTTATCGACAATTAAATGATAATCGACAATTAATTCAAAGTCAAATTGAACTTGAACAAAAACAAAATGATCTTATTGAACTCGAAGAAAAAACTCACGGACTTAAGTAAATTAATTTTTGTCTTGTTTTCTCTTGTGTCTGTTTTATATAATAATTATAGATTAGATTCACTTATACGTGAAGAAAAACAATTACGTTCAACACAAGAAACATTATTTAAAGAAAAACATACAGCATCAGCACGTTTAGCAACATTAGAACAACAATTAATTGAATTAGGACAAGAACTTGAACAAGAACATTTAAAAAATGCACATGAACGTTATCTTAAACATTTTATACAACAAACAGTTGAAGAAATAGCATCACAAGATCTTGAACGTTTTTATAAAGTTTTAGATCAAACAATGATGACATATCATACACAAAAAATGAAACAATTAAATAAAATTATTCGTGATCTATGGAGAACAACATATCGTGGTTCAGATATTGATGCTATTGAAATACGTTCGGATGCTGATGAAGAAAATGCATCAAAAACTCGTCGAACATATAATTATCGTGTTGTTATGCTTAAATCTGGTTCTGTTATGGATATGAGAAATCGTTGTAGTGCGGGACAAAAAGTTCTTGCTTCACTTATTATTCGACTTGCATTGGCTGAAGCATTTTGTCTTAATTGTGGTATTCTTGCATTAGATGAACCAACAACAAATCTTGATTTTGAAAATATTGATGGATTAGCTCAAGCATTAATTGAGTAAATATCTATGATGTGTTTATTAAATATTATAATTCATAGAAATGAAATAAAACTTTTCGTTTATTTTAGAATTGTTAAAAGTCGTGCAAATTTAAAAAATTTTCAATTAATTGTAATAACACATGATGAAGATTTTGTTGATTCACTTGGTAAATCTGCATATGCAGAAAAATGTTATCGTGTATCAAAAACACATAAGTATGTTTTTATCATTTATTAAAATATTTCAATTAATGTCCGCGCCAAAATAAAAGAGGGGTGAGTGTAAGCTCAATAACTCGGCAACCGCGATACCTAGCTACCTGCGGTTTTCACCAATCGAAAGAGGAGGAGCGGGCACGTCTTTTTCTTCGATAATGTATAAGACGAAATTCTTTTAAAATTAATGATATTTGAAAAACATGCAAAAGAACTTATGAAAATGACCTGTCAGCTAGATGAAATTTTGATTTTGATCTTCGATTTAGATAGAGGGACTTGAGATCTACAGTTCAAGACACAATGCGCTTTCTTACTTTTTCTTACATTTTCATCGAAATGTCAAGCTACTCGGATAAAAGTGCGAAAACTTAGTAAAAAAATCAGCAAAATTTCCTATTATTTGCGCATGTAGGNTAAAGGTTGCCTTTCCATTCGCTTCAGTATTGAATATAGTTTTTTTATAGTAATTATTAAGAGCCTACTAACACTGAAGGGCCCCTTAGAAAAGTCGACTTGGGTGTGGGTGTGGGGTTTGGGTCATAAATGGAACCGGTAGACCGGCCGGTCTGCACAACTTCATTGATCGGTCAACGTCATCCACCGGCCGATCACAAGCCATTTATGCAGACTGGCGGGTCTACGGGCTCCATTTATGACCCACACCCACACCCACACCCACCCAAAACCGATACAAGAGAACAGCTTTGAGCGCTATTCTTCAAAATCAAGAATTTTCTCGTCAACTGTCACATGTTTCCTCAAATCAACAATCTATTGTTTTTTTCTTAGTTCGACATCCTTCAATAGTAAGAGAACACACTTCACCAAAAGCAGTGTATATCTATTCAAATATCGAAAATCTCTGGAAGTCGGTGCATTCTTCATCGATGAATCCGAAGTTCAATCTGTTGTATTGTTTGTTTCAAGCTCAAGACCTTATCGATGATCCCTTTTTTAGATTAATGATTTAAAAGATCGTTATGATAAATGAGAATAACTGAAAGACAATATACACTGAGTTTATGTGATTCAATCATCAATCATTTCACAAATGTACTAATAAGAAAGGTGCAATCAATACAATGGATCATCTTAAAAATTTCCTTATTGGAGTTTCGAAAAGATTATTATATGTGTTCACAATCTTTGAATAACAGTCTTGCATAGCTAAGAAAAGCGAGATGATTAGTAAAATCTAAAAGAAAAACATGTCCGATACACCAATATTTGGTTGAACAAAACGATCTAATGACTGATACACACAATTAAGAATTGCGAATGAACGAGTACCAGTAGTTCGTTCATTCGTCATAATGTTACCATAAAAAGAAAAAGATTTAAAGAGTTGTCTATATTCTGTTTATTCTTGATTAGATAGAAAAACGTCAGGAATAAGCGAACTGATTTTCGAAAAGCGTCTGAATTTCACCAATCATATGTACCCTCAATTGTATTAAAGAGATGATCCATTGATATTTCACTTTGAAATTCTTCTTTCCAAATGCTATCTTTTCTCTCTTTTTCTTGCTTTATTTTCTTGTCTTCAATGATTGGCCATGGAGCATGAACAATAATATAACCAACAAGTCGAAGACAATCAGTTGCATATTTCAATGGTTCTTGCATATGTGCATGCCATATGATGTCTATCTAAAATCGTATAAATATATTCATAGAACAATATTATTCTCTTTCCTAATAGAAATTTTACCGCATATGTTGGTGGTATAAAATCGTTGCGCTCTTTCAGTGGACATTTCGCTGCCATATATAAAAATCTTTCATAAGATTTTTTTAAACGGTGCATAGCTCCAGTTCCAAGATCAATATAGTTGCGTGATCTTCCATAGTAGTCGTGAAGAGAAGCTCGGTGTAGCGAATCGTGCATAAATGTTTTACATAAATCGAGCCAACGACCATCAATAATAATTTCGGCTTCCGTAAATGAAAAGGGATTTTCATATTGTTTTGGTGGATTCGATGAAAATTCGAAAAATGCTCGATCCCAGTATGAATAAGCTTTTTCAGGTTGATTTATGAAACTGTCTTGATCATATAAGACGTCGAATGTTGTCTTCCAATCATTATTATCTGATGGTAATTCACAATATTTTTCACCGAATCGTTCTTCATAAAATTGACATGTTTCTCGAAATGCTTGCTCTTTTGAGGGCCGTTGAATTTCTGTTGTCGACAATGAATGATCGACGACATGACGAAATAGACGAAGACAATCAGCTCGATATATTTCCGGTCGAAGTAAATGTGTTTGTCAAACAATTTCTATATCAAGCGTGGGAATAAGTAAGACATTTGGTAAATAGAGAGCTTTCAATTGCATGAATCGATAGTATCTTGTTATCATCTGCTTCAATATAGCAGATTGGTACCATTTATCTTGAAAGCTGGATACTTTCTCCAACAAGGACATCAGCTGATGGACTGTTTTGTTGATATCGACAGACAATTCGATCGTCCTGAGATAAAGAGAAAACATCAGTACTATGTAAAAGAATAGTATTTTCGCTATTGATGAAACAAAATTTATCTCACGATCCATGTCGACTTAATGCGGCTAAAACAGTTGAAAGACTAGTGACTCGTACTGTATCAAACAGTGAACCGGTTTGCTTTTGCTTTTGTTAAAAGTAATTTTTATAAAACTAATTACGAGAATTATTCACTAAAATTACTTTATTGTTTATCAAGCTTTAGTAAGATTATAATATAATGTACTGAATTGAACCAGACGAATCATAGATTTGATCAAAATTTTGTCGGAAAAAAATGTCGAAACTGTAAATCACATATTGTTCAATGGACCTCTATGACAGAGGTAAAGAAGAGCTTTTCGTGTAAAATATAAATTTTATGTTCTTATTTCAGCAGTTGCATTAGTTTATTCTGTTAGAGTTTCTATTAAGCATGGAAATTTTTCGACTGCATCTGCTTATAATTGTTCATTTGTGTTATCTGTAATCTATTTTTGTGAAGATGCTTCAGATAACATACTCTATCGTTGAATAGATGCCAAAATAGCATTATTTCACTTAAGTCGATAGCTGGTTTCGTTCAAAGTTCGACACCAGCATGTATTGATCACGTTAAAAATTGAACGCAATCTATCTCATACATACAAGATCGTGTCAAATGAATTGAAATACGTACGCACAATATAGATAATACATTTTTTGGCTTTCTTAAAAAGCACTTTCTTCTTATTTTAAAAAAAGTATAGAGATTAGACAACCAAAGTATTAGAAATTCTAGTTTGGATAAGAAAGTGTATAATCTTAGAATTTTCAAAAAAAATGATTGACTACATAATTCCACATACCTACTAATATTTTGTTCATTGATAAGATTATTGGAAGTTTCTTACAGCGTTTTATTTCATTCAAGATGAGCAAGAAATTATGAATGCTCATTTAAAAAACCTTTCCAATCAACTTCGATATGCATTTTAGTAATTCGATTAATTTCAATTTACTCGAAAGGAAAACTTTGTAATTAGTTCAAAATGAGCTCTAATTACAAAGATGATCATTTTATCGTTTCTTGGACTGCAGACGACTTAAACATAAAGGAATCCATCAAAATATAATCGAAGATAATTATCAATAATCGAAAACTTCTCATTATCACTAATTTGATATTCTACTAGTTTCTAGTTTAGATTTGAAAGTTCAAGTTTGAATTATTGCTTCTATGAAGAATCAATGATGCTTCCACTTAATTGTATCCCAAAAGCGTTCCTTATCTAAAATGATGAATGCAATCGCCTCACATGTCTTTTGAAGAATTTGGATGTCGACTGAAACCACCAACAGATGCATATGGATGTTCGACTATTGGCCGGATTGGATATTGTGACGGTAGACGCATAATGTATGATAATCGCTTGCATGAACTCATGCAGAGCAGTTTCGGTTTTAGTTCTGTATTTTGTAAATATTTCTCATGCATCCAATCCATGTAAGTGTGTCTGAATGATTTTGAATATAACTTCGTTGAAGCTATTGTATATTTTTGAAAAAATAATTGTAGAAATAAATAGAAGAAAAAAAGTCAAGAATTCTCACTATTGCATTTTAATTTCCAAATGTCATCTTGATCTGCAACCATTTTGAACAATCGACAAACAAGTGATACATTACATAGGTCAGGAACAGAAAGTAATTGAAATATTCGTAAGAGAATTTTAGTAGGAATACGATTGAATGGAGATGTAGCTAACGCAGTCTGTGTTTCAGTAAGTGCCCATGAATGCTTCCAACTGAAATGAGGTGGTTCAGTTTGTTTCATCAAAGAAGAAATGCAGATCGCATTAACTTCTTTCTTTCTTCTGTGACATAACCGTTTTGACATGTAATCTAGAGAAGATAAATAGCAGGATTTTGCTAGACAAACAAATTTTAAATGTCCCCCCCCCAAAAAAAATTCTTGTATAATTATGATTGATACTTGGACATTTTTTTGTAACAGTGC